GAAAACGATTTTGTGAAAATTCTGTTTTTTCCGTCTCTTTCTTCTGAAGTACTTTGAATTTCGAATCTTTCTAAGCGGCATTTAGTTGATTACCTAAATACGCAACTTTGCTCCTATTTAAGCGACTTCGTATCTTTTACAGTTTCCGAGATCCCAAAGGTGAGGGTTTTGACGTGAAAACTGGACATACAGACATTCACATTTATTTGGCATTTGTGCCTTTTCACAAGAAATTGAGAATATTTCAAATGCAGTTCGACTTAGATATAAGTCGTTATATATAAAATGCGTTTAGAATTAAAAATTTGAATAATACATAGGATAAATAAGCAAATTGGTAAACATCATTTTGAAAATTCTGTAGCCGAGTTGCTTCCATTGATTTTACAATTGAACGAAATTGCTTAACGCCTACCTTCCGAGTAATGGATCGCTGCAGTTCCTCGTGGAACACCGTGTATATTAGGAAGATGGGGATATGAAAATAATACCGATAGTTTGACTCATCAAAAATTGCTCGTGATTTGTTATTATCTAAGGTTGTGTCAAAGGTAGACCTAACCAGAATGGAGATCGAACACACCTTCCCCTCATACTAAAACCAACCTGACCCTATCGTCACCGTCGAACTGGTCGTAATGCCAAAAGTATCGCATTTTCTTGAATTTTTCGAGCTTCCGCTTCCATCTGAACCTCGTTTCCGTTCCCGGGAACCGACGGAAACAGCATCCGCGTTTGGATAAAGTGCATCCTTGGCGTACTTGTGCACTAAGGAATAGACTTTCTTCACGCATCTGTACAACTACAAACAGCTTTATAGTTATTGCGAAAACAAACTAAAAAAATCATACAAACATTTCAATACGATACCATACCAACTATTGACATTTTATACGTCATGTGAAAGAAAGTCCCCTCTTTGCGGACACCCTGAATAAAATTTTGATAGCTAAACGCTATCCAAGAAAGACATTAAACCAAAACATGACCAGCGCGTGATCAGCATGTTGATGATATATGACTAAAAATAAAAGACCTAACGTAATATTATATAATTTATTCGTCAATGCAAATAAAGAAGATAATTTTGAAAATATGTCTAATCGCTTCTTCTCGAAGTTTGTTGTAAAAACATTGTTTAATCAGTGTCTCTGTTCAGTTGATGAGTACCTTGATGCTTTGACGTCACTCGGATAGTTAATACATTTGTAAAATCTCATATGTACATTGTAATCATTAAATGGTATGGTGTAGTACATACCTGATGAGCTGTATCTTCTAAGGTGTCGATTTTTATTGAATGCAAATGCTTTGGCGGAGTTCCTTCGTATGCGAACCAACCTGGAGATAGCCTTTTTAGTACGTGAGATACCTGTATGATTATAAAAAATAAGTATCCTACTGCAATTGTGACGCAACTGTGGGTACCTGTATGAGAAGTCTGATGTTAGTAATATTTTTGGGATATTTTTCTTGTAGGATGAACAACTCTTTGATATGGTGATTGATATCTTCATCGCCTTCTATCATATGGACAAAATATTTCTTGTAGATGATTAAAAATCCTATCCGTTCCCTGCAGGGGTGTTCCTCTTCTGCTCTCGGTGTGTCTGATATTACTATATGAGGGATTCTAGATCGATTAAAATTCCAATTATACTAGATAGTAGATCATGGAAAAAACGATCAAATATGTCACAGATTATTTAGTAGTAGACTTCGGATAATGCACTGTTGTATACTTTTTAGAACCATATGAGTGTATCAACTATAAATTTTCCAAAAATGTCCCAAAATATGAACTCCACGGTAAAACCATATACCTAGCTGCTCATAAAAATTTAAACAACAAAACATTTGAAAATACCATAACCTACCATGCAACTCTTGCAAAAAGAATTATCTAAAAGAATTTTTTCGCGAGTCCACGGTGTAGCACAGTTGCACTACCGGGAACCGATACTCAAATTTTCACGAAGAACGGGAATAGGGGAAGACGGATGTGACGTCGTCCGATTGTCAAAAAATCACGTGGTACGGGTACCCGCCTAACTTCTGTGAGATACTAGCGGATGACAGGTCTTATGTCAATGTCATTTAAAAAGCAGGCATCTCAATTGAAAATTTGTCTTCCCAGTGCTGAAAATTGAATTAAAATATTAAATCATAAATGGAGCAACACGTCCTCCTGATTTTAAATGACGAGCGAGAAGGTCATCGAAGATATATGAACCGCACTTGTCATATCAAATGATTGATTTTATTGATAGATATGTATATTGCACAAAAAACGATCGGTCTTTTTATTTCAGGAAGCTAAGTTTATCAAGGAGCTTAAAGCAAACATTTTGCGCAACATGCGCCATCTAACCACTCTCGGTGTAACTTGAAACTGTCAAAACTTCGGGAGGAAGGGGAAATTCCATCTGTTCCCGCTCCGGTTCACTACGGGATCTCGCGAAAAAAATCTCTTAAGCTGACAACTGTTTTTTGCTATGCGTCAATTTCAGAAAATTAAATCTCCGCCTGAAATAAATCCTGAAGATCCTCTAAGAAAATTTGTAATTTCCTAAATGCCCAACCTAACATCCTGGTTCGGGAATAATAGACTTTTCCAGAGGATTTTCAGTATCGTTATGAGTTTGGGCTACTTTGTTAAATTCGAGGTTTGCAAGGTCTCAAAACATAATTTAATACAAATTTGTTGAATATTTTTTATACGAAAGTAATATATGGACTGTAAATTAACCTGGTATAGAATGGTCTCCAACATAAATAACTCTGTGCAAGTAAGTCGCCCTGTTTATCTGCTTGAAATTATCCTTGATCCTATCGTATAATGTTTTTCTTTCTGGCTCTTGTATATCGCATGATTTGGGTGCTGACACTTTCCGCAATCTGGAATATTTCATTTTGAGAGTATGTTTGAAAAAACATACAAAAAAACCTAAAAATATGAATTAAAAAAAGGTGCTCAAGCCAACATCACAAAACGACAACGTCACATTTTTTAGATGCGAGTTGAACCTTGGTTTATATACAGCATGATAGCTTTTAAAAACATCGTGCTTTTTTCCAGCGGTTTTTGGTTTGAAAGCGAGATGCTCACGGACCACTTTGGAAAATGCGCATGGAAACACAAAATGCAGTGGATCGTTATTGATACTGACGCCTACTGAGTAACTCCGAGTAACTGAACTGGATCTCTGGAAAGCAGCTTCGGCTTAACATCTAACAGTTTTTAGTGAAGCCGTCTTTCAGCTCTAAATATGTATAAACAAGAATATGAAAAATTTTGCAACAAAAAGCAAATTCTAGTTCAAGGTCGACCAATTTATAACCTCAATCACAATGACGTCATTAAATAAGACAGCGCAAAGCGCCATCTATCGCACCAGAATCAACCACTGCGGAGAGGACATAGATGCTATTAGTTGGAACTGTTAGGGATCTCAGTTTACGTTTAATAGTCCAGTCACCACGTGACCGCTAGATGGTTGACGATTCAATGGCAATTAGACCACGCACTACTTTATATATACAAAATACATAGAAGGCGCTGCGTGACGTAAAGGCCCTTGATCCACCACTGATCTTGTGGCGACCCAGACTTTTCCCCATACCGATTTTGTCCTTATTCTACCTAATTTAAATACACTATCTACCGATTACGATCTTTCAGGTTCGACAACACCGCAGAACCCTCCAAAAGCAATTAAGATTCCAGAGGTTCTAGATCAAATAAATGAGATTTGAAAACAATTTTTGCAAATATTTTCCGAAATAGGTATTTTTGATTCAAACATTAATGTCTCGACGATGGATAATAGGTGAAAGCTGATACATTTACAAATGTTCTCTGACGCAGAAATGCACGATGCGCCGTTTGTTTACATTGGTGTGAGTTTCTAGATCATAAATTGGTAATAAGTAGTTCTTAATCTTGTAATATGTTTTATATAATTTTTTGTAAAATAGAATCAAACTGACACATTTCTACATGTATGTATTATGTCCGATGCTCTATTGTTCAGTGGTTCAAAATAGTTAAAACACCCTATTAAATATATTAGCTAGAAAATCTGCCTATTATTTCTATTATTTGATGTTTCAATACCAATAAGAGACCGTTATTTGTGAAGTGATAGAAATTGATAATTGTATGAAAGTTATCGTAATTTTAAAGCTCACAGACATGTTATTACATCAAGAATGTACCTTTATTTCTAAAACAACCACTTTTACTATTTTATTCAACATTTCAATAGGAATCACTGACATTCAGAGAGCTTTGTCTGCTTCCATCACAATGCATTTCGATAAGCTGTTTCTTGATTGGTCGAAAACTCTGTTAAATTTTAATGTTGGTGAAATCCACTCGATGAGTCAGTTTTATCAACGAAATCCTTAATTGGGCACCTGTTCATATGTAGGAAAATTTCTTCTCTCATGTATGTAACTCAAATATCTTTCTTCAACGAAAACGTTTTTAAAAAGATTTATTTTTGAGAAAAACCAAATACAATGATGTTAATTGAATGAGTTCTGAATCGAGACTGACTGCAAAGTTCATTATACAAACCAAAGTAAAGAACAAATGACATACAATACTGAAACTGATAAGAAAGGAACGTGGAGGCAAAAGTCCTTGTTCAGCATATTCTTCACTATAGACTGGTACATAACTTGTATATATTTTTAACAACAAAAGGCTGTGTCGTTTGAAACATTTCTTCAAATTTAACAGGCAGAGGTGCTAAAATGACTCAAGATTACAAACCAAAATGATAAAACTGTAGTTTCCACTTTCTTATTACATATTTTCATAATTCTGGGTAATATTTATTATGTTACTAACCTGTCATCTCATAGTTTGATAGCTATTATTTCTTATGCTTCAAATGTCATTGGTTACTACAATTTGACGGTGGGTTGTTTAATGTGATTGGTTGAAAATAACGACTAGCTTAGCCTAAAACTATTATTTTCCTTCATTGCAGAGTACAACGGTCAAGGCCAGCAACCTCTTCCCCCCACTGCGCTACCGCCGCCGCCTGCGGCCGCTCCATTAATCCCCGCGCAGTACCCGCCCACCGGGTTCCCGCCGGGCGCGGCGCCGCCCCCTTTCGTGGCAGCTCCGCCTCAATTCATCCCCCCTCCGCCGCAACAACCGCAGATCATCAACTTTGTTCAGGCGGCCGCAGCCGCGGGACAACCACCCTTCGCCCCGCCCAATTTCCAGGGGTACCAACAGCAGTTCAACCCTGTGGTAAGTCCGCGTGTTGCGGGTAGTTTAAGCGCTTGGACGAAGGACATGCAGGTGTCTGAATGGCTTAAAGGTGGATGCTTGGCTGAAGTTGTGAATAATGATAGGATAGGATATATTCCGCATACCACTTAAAAATGATCTCACCGAGAATATACTGACTAATATCAAGCATGAGCTAACGCTTTGGCAATGGGACTGATCAGAAGAGACTTGCAATTTCACAAAAAAAACTTATTCATTTTAGTGATAACCTCAAAGTCTTATAACTAATAATGGTAGGAAAAAACGAAACCTCGTTATTGATAAGAATTTTCTCCAGGTATCCTATGGCTTTAAAAGGAAAATCCATTTTTGACCCCGTAAATGAAAAAAGCGGAAAATTTTACGTGCAGATACGGTCTTGACGATTCTTAAATTTTGACCTTAGTAGTTCATGATCAATGTCAAACACAGGTACGGTGATACTACCGAGTCATTTTCATGATTTTTTCCCGGATATCCAATGGTGATCTTGGATCTGTCCTTGACAAAGACTTTCAAGGTCATTAAATGGAGAAAGGGGAATATGTCCTTGACCATTTTTTTAACTCGACCTAGGACTTGACCATCAAGTTTACCTTAATTTCTTGATAATTCAGAACACTGTGTAACCCCCAGATGAACTGACGTCACTGTTCTGTCAGGATTGTTCTCTGGCTACAACCTTGAAGGTGATCAAGGTTACCATTTGATATCTGGCGAAAAATCATGAAAATAATGTCTCTGTAGTTTCCCTATACGACTACTGTTTTTCATGTTCTACCAACGTACCTAGGTTTGTCCTTGACGATGACCTCCTAAGGTTAAAATTTAAGAATGGTCTACGCCATATTGGAACGTAAAATGTTCCGTTCTTTTCAGTAATGGGGTCAAAATGGATTCTACAATATTTAAAAAAAATCGACTTGACTTTCAAATGACCTTGAAGGTAATGGTTAAGGTCAAATACAAGGGCATCACTTAATAGCTGGGGAAAATTATCAAATCCAAGGCTCAGTTTTTTCCTGCTATTATTAGTTCACCAAATATCGTTCTGAAACTTTCCAGACACCCTGTATATATGGCTCTTTTTTAGTGATAGAATGGGCAGAAGAAATTATCAGCCTGGCAAAAAGGATATTTATTCTATTGTGGTTATTTTTTTGTATTTCGAGATAATTCATTATTCATTTACATACACGAATTTTTCCAATTAGCTTGTATCTTTATTTTGGTGGACGTTTACGAATATGACATGGCACAGTACTCTTTTAGTTCGGGAAGTTTCGTCACATCTGCTCGAAAAATATTCTGATTCGGATTTTGCATAATTTTATTCAAAAGGATTTTGACGAATCTACAGATTGTCAGGCCCAAAATTGTTTAAACCGTTTGTTTTTCGCTCCGGTAAAGGTTTTTTTTTTGATCTCCATTCTGAACCTAGATTCAAAACAAAAATTTTTGAGGCGCTAAAGTTTTTTAGGTGTTTTTTGCCATCTTGAACAAAAACGGTTCTTATGAACTTTTTTCTAAAGTTGATAGTTTTGGTGCAATCTTATTCAAAAAGAGCCTCTTTTAACAAATCTGGATGCTGTCAGGCCCAAAATTGCATCAAAAGTTGCTTGAGAAATGTTTAACCAAACTCCAGTCATTGTTATTCGCTCCTGACAACGTTTTTTTTAAGTTTCTTTTTTGTAATTCATAACAAAAATGGCTCTTATGAGATTTCTCCAAAGTTGATAGTTTTCGATATATATGCGATTTAATATTCGAAAAAGTGAAAAATATTGCGTTTTCCATCCCCGATAAACAATATGATAAAAACGAGTGTTGTCAAAGTTACTAAATATTCTTCTAACACCTATTGACAAAATCCTTAAGTATTTGGTATGCTTGACTAACAATTGATAGACATAGGTTCACTATAACTATACCCCCTAAATTGTTTTGACAGTGCAAAACGCATTGATCCTATGGTGCACATTTTGCCCGTCGAGCTTTGCGTTTTCTGATACCAATCGAACCTTTTTCTCATAACATACACGGTTAACGGAGACGCTGGTCGCATTGTATGTCAGCTTCTCTATTGCTATATTTCAGTATCATTTGTCTGTTGTCATATATCATTATCATTTCAAACATCCTTCTGACCAGTTCTACTGTACTAATGCTAGAATGGCTTGATGACAAGGTGAAATTAAATGTCATCCAAATTTTAAAAAAACATGCCACCTACTATAAGATATATTTGTTAGAAAGATTTTTTAGTTTAAACTCAAAACCGTTAAGTTTTGAATTTTTTAGATAGATTTATTCATTCTTTTATAATTAAAAACATTAATAAAAGTTGTGATACTTGTATACCAGTGAATGTCTTCAAAAGATAAAACTGATCCTGTGAAATTAGAATGTTTTATATTTATTTTCTATACGTATGTGTTGGTTTTTATTTTTCTGTTTAAATAAACACAACTCTTTGCATCATTGATGTGTTTTGATTTGACGATTCATTTTTCTTTTTGTCTACATTAATGAATATTCCACAAATATGGAATTGTAAGTATAGTTATGAAAACTCAGCTTAAAATTTTTTCCACCAAATACTATTTGTAAATTTGAACTTTTATAGTAAAAAGTGATAGCAATCAGTGTATCAGAATATTATCATCCTAAAAGTATTCACCCGTCTCCCATCCTCACAAGCAGACAATACTATTGCACCATGAAAAAACAAAAATTTGATGCTTATAACCGTAGCTTGCAACTACTAACACACTAACAATAGTATAACAAGTACATTTTAGAAAATGGCGTCAAGTAGATTGACTTTGCACGCAAGGCACTCTAGGGAATTTTGTATGGAGGTATGGAATCAATCAATGAAATTTTAAATCTAGTTTTGATTTGATTCCATTTAGTTCATTGTAAGGTTTGTGAATGATATTTGAATGAATTAAAATAAAAACAAAATACTATCAAAGAAGTACAGAAGAGGATGAATCAAACGAAAGTTAGAATTAGCAGTTATTTATTTTATCTTTTGCATCGTCATATAAAGGTAAAGATTTTTTTTCGGTGTCTTTCTCATTTTATTGATGTATCTATATGAACAAATTAGTACAATATGCATCACATTCTCGTTGGTGCTCTTTTGGGAACATTTCTAAGAACATTTCGGTCATTTTTAATTATTTTATTAGCACTTTCTTCAAAATATTGCAAATATTCCACCTTTTAAATAAAATCTCATTATTACAAACTGAACGTTTGAGCTGATTTGATATAACCTATGGTTCAGGGATGGCATTATTGGAGGTCTACGGCCCGTATCGGCAGTCGTCCCTACAATTGTAGGGCGCCTTTATGACCTCCTTGATTGTCATATTTTTCGGCTTCTCCGTGTCAGAACTCTATTTTGAGGTTATGTCACAAACATCTATTTGCATCAAATTGTGCTTGCTTTTGAGTTATATCATGTTTTATCAGCCTGATATTTCCTACAATTTAAAAAGAAAACATATCTTCACAATAGGATAGCGCTGACGCTGACACGGGACAAGTGTAATCTAGAAATTTTTGAAGGAGAGAAAGGAGTATGACAATCAAGGAGGCCATAAACGCGCCCTACAATTGTAGGGACGACTGACGATACGGACCCAAGCTGTAAGTTGTATACTATAGCTTGAAGGTAACAGCAGTGCATAGTGAGGATTTGTTTGCTAATAATCTGTGTTGATGATAATTCCATTGGTTTATTGTCTCATATACACTGATACCTGTATTCAAAGCTAGAAATTAGTTGTGCATTCACTTGTCCAAATTCGTTGTGGAAATTACATATGCAATTTCAAAAAAGAGAGAGAAGAGAAGAAAAATCAGGTGAGAAAATATGCTACGGACTGGAATATTTATGAAACGTAGAAAAGTTATTAAATTATTGGCCCTAATAGAGTATATTCAAACAGTTGTCCTGCGTGGCCATGTTATTTTGATTGAAAAGGACAACATATAAATAACCCGTCGGGCACAGCTAATAGATTGGCAACATATTCAGTAATAATATTCTCACATTGTAAATTTCACTGATGCAATCTTGCTACTCAACCAAATTTCTTTCTTTCTTACCTTCTCAGAGATAAACACTACAGACTACTCGGCTTTCTGCAACCAACAATGCATGTCGTGACGTTGAGTTATTCCTCCATATATGGACGCTTTTGATGGAGCTCACAGCAATCAAATGGAATGAACTATTGCCCACTAAAAACTACCTAGTCTGCAAGATAACATTTTGTCGTTTTTTAGGATTTTTGCATAATTCCTCTGCGGTTTTCAGCTTTATATCTTGATCCGACCAAAAAATAAGTAGTGGGACCGTTTTGAAATGGACTGTACATACAAACACGCGAAGAGGCTGTCGGATGAAAATGACTGTCATACGCAACTATCTTTGAAAAAGTTATAATATTTCCATGAAGGATGGAAGCTGCAGTATCTATCTGAAGCTGTTATTTTGTGTAGGCTTTGCCTGTTTACAGTAGTCTGTGTTGCTATTGCTAAAATCTGACGTCAGCTTTCTGTTCTGTTAGGTAGTTTTTTCATCATCAGGCAACATTTGTTCGAAAAAACGAAGTCCGATCAAAGAAAAATTCAATGTACCATTTGCACGATTGGTAGCAATTCCTGTGAGGAGCGTGTTCGGTTAAGGTCTAGACGTTAGGATGGTTAAAAGTTCTTCCGAAACGGATTTGACAAGTTCCAATTTCAGACACAGCCTCCGGCTGAGCTGTACCAACCCCAGGGCATCACGTACTACTCGACGGATCAACAGGTGGGCCAACAGAGGCCAGCGCCTCAGAAACGGCCCAAGGCCGCGATACCGATCGTCGCGCCTCCTGAGCAGAAAAAGGACGACACAGACGAATTACAGACGATCGAAAGCGGCGGTGCTCTCTCCGAGGCCCTAGACGCGAAGCAATGATGGTTGGCAGTATATTATTTTTTCGATTAAGTTGTTGGCTTTTTATTGTAATTGGTTGGAGAAGGTCGGCCATCAGTTGTTATAAAAACTGCAATAGTGACATGAACTATAAATCTCTATCAGTCTGGAATCACAGTTGTCGATAATTCAGAATATCATCGATCTTTGATAGCGGATTTTGAAAACAAAGTATCAGGTTCAATGTAACAAACGGAGATAGAGTATTTCATGAATCATCTGGCACGCAAGACGCTTAGAATCACAGCCCGGATTAGTAATATGTGTTCGATGGTTTGATTTCAATATAAAGGACCCCGCACAAAGCATATGGAGAATGGGTCCCAGTCCTGAATGAAAACACTCATGGGTCCAGAGCAATCCTATAATTGGTTTCTGAGAAATAGGGCGGTAAGTTTTCCCAATTTGTAAAAGTGGTGAATGTGTCGATTGTAGTTTTCAGACCAAAAACTCGGAAAATTGTTATACTGAAATAAATAATTGCTTAAAGCACCTTGAAGTAAGGTATGGGCAGGTATAATGTTGTTCATCTTAGCTACGATCTTTACAAGGTCAATTTAAGGCAAGTTGATTTTTATATGCTGGAATGGATGTGGCACCAATTGTTCGGGAATTCAAAAAAATAACTCGAAAAGGACACTTTGCTTCACAAGAGCATAGTTGTTTATTTTTTATAGAATATGACCTTTACAGGGACAATTCAAGGTCATGTTGATTTTGAAGACAAAAAGGAAAGAAGACGCTCTAACGTGGTCAAAGGTATTGTAATTTGTTGACTATTAATTTGAGTTTTTTGTTGTCCTATAAATAATAATTGGAGGCTGGTATCTACTAATAAGAGCATCAGCCATTTTATAAACGACTCCTAGATTCGGTACATACTGCAACGGTTTTCGAGGAACTTAAAAATCGATTTTATATACACCATGTTTGCAAACCAGCAAACTTCATCCTTTTCTCGGAAACTAATCATATGATTGCTTTGGTCCCATGAAAGGTTTTGATCAGGAAGACGATAAATGCGTCTGTTACTGAACTTTTGGTCATATTAACTGGAACCCATTTTCTATATATTTTGGGCGGAGTCCTTTTGCAGTGTTGTTTAATGCTCCTCAAATTTCATATCATGTTTTTAGAGAAAAATGTGTCACTGAATATAAAAACTTCTTACTTCTCTGTCAATTCCAAACGTTTACCTTAAATTAATTTTCGAACCAGAAAGCTATAATTTGCAACTAAAACAGTTCAGTTTTCAGTATAATTGTTGACAAAAATATACTGGCATGACCAGTACCAGACTAAAAATGAATGTATGTATTAACAGTTTTTTTTTTTAGCTCGAGTATAAAACCTTCTGAAAATACTTATTGGAATGTTTAATTTATCGTGAGTTTTTGATCTTGATGGTCTACCCTTTTCAGTTCGATTGAATTTAATGACTTAATTAAGGCAGTTTTGGATTATGATAAATATTATCCATGCACTCTTCAAACATAGCTGAAAACGTAATTGTTCAATATGGAAGTTTCAAATCATCAATTGTATATTAGGCATATACTGGCATAAAAAAAACACGTTCACTGTGGAATATCGTTACCTTTCGCGTCAGTCACTAGTGCGAAAAATATAAATATCAATAAAAAAATGCACGAACGAATAATTTATTGATTTTTTCTTCAAAATATATCCTATGCTCGATTAAACTTTTATTTCATTACCTATTGTTCAATCATCATTCACGTTTTTCTAGGCAATTTTTTATCGTCATTACCCCTTAGGCCATGAATAAGTTAGAGCTGAGACACAATTACACTTTCATGAGATTTTTAAAATTCACTCATGTTTTTCTTGAATTTTATTTAAGGTGTCTAGACTATCAGTAAAGAAGGTAACATTTTATATTGTAGCGAAAAACACCCTTTTTACTAATTCAGTACTTTACATAACTCTTGCAACCAATTTCTGGTAAATTTATAACCATATCGACTGGACCGCGTCTCTAAATAAATTCTTCTTTGAAGCGGTCGATTGTTCCCGATGACATCGCGAACGCTCCCGAACGCGCTATATACGTTCGCATAACCCTGGTTGCCTAAACGTCTATGTTGCTGGGGCGTCTAATCGGTACCCCAAAGTTCTAGTTTACGAGCGAGCTTCAATATATTGTTTTATGAAGATGACGTGAGATTTTATAAAATTTTATGGCCTACGATGAGCAGTGTGGATTTTCATTTATTCGATACTGAAACAAAGTATGCTTGTATTGAATTTGATGTCAAGAAAAAGCTAGTTTCCTTTGGTCAAGCAGAATAAAGGGTCTTTTAGAGTTATAACTTTTATGGCTCCCTTGCTGTCATCATCTTATAATGGAATATTTTATTTTTTGAAATTTTACCAAAAGTTCCTTAATTAGGTCAAAGCGAGCTTACAATAATACTTTATAATAATGTATTGTGTACTTCAGCATGCAAACATAATATTGTTATAATAATTTATACCATTATAATATATGTATTATACTTTTTATACATTTAAAATGAAAGACACATATTTGGATGACATGGAGCATTTTTTGCTAAATCATAGAATTTGAATAGTGCCACGTCTGCTTGGTGTTCTTTTTATACGTTGACAATACTCATGTATTATTAAGGGAATATTAAATAATTGAAGTTAGTTTTTAGGAAAATTAAGAGGTCTAAGAAGTAAAATAATGTCAGGAGCAATAGATAATCAACGTTACAGACAGGTGGATAGGCTGAAACCTACTACTAGTTGCTGCTAGATTTTTTCAGATACAGTGTCCAAAAACATATCGCAGGAAAAGCTGACTAGGCACTGCTCAAAAATTCTTGGATAGCTTGATGTAATAATACACAAAAATGAATAAAAGGAATTATAATTGTTTTACAGTGTTTCATGATTGTCCCTGACAACATTCATACTGATGAAAAAATGGTGACAACTATAGGATATATAGTATTTTTATTGCCTAAGCCGGAAGTATATACAATATGCAGCAATTATGAACTAAACATCTTAAACACTTGATTCTAATTAAAGCTTACATATTTCAAAAGGATTAGATTAGCAGTATGTTTTCAAACTTCATGTAGATTCGTATACTATGAACCTTTGGCTAAAATTATGTCCCTGATTTGTTGGGTCATCCATTCGACACCTTCTTGTAGTCCTTCGCCTGTTAGTGCATTGCTAGCCGAAATGTGCCACGGCTTGTCCATGATTTTGTCCAGACCTTGAAAAATTCCAGTTATATCAGATCAGTGGAACGAGACGTCATTATCAGTTTTCTCGCGTGGAAAACCTGTTACAAGAATTTGGCAACTATAACAGAATGTTATTTGTAGGGAATGGGGATACTACTTTATGGAATATTATACTGTGAAATAAAGATTTATAGGATACTGGAGGAATCCATAAAAGAAATGAGGCGGTGAGTATATGATGATTTCCAGATATTTAAACTGCAAGCCCCATTTAAGATTTTAGTGGAAGGGCCCTAGTAATGAGGAAGTTTCAAAATTTTTAAACGCACAGATTTGTGTACTGTACCTAATGCCGCCGCAATCTTCACACTACTAAGCGCCTCTTTACAATCCATTTTATTGGCAAAGAACAAAATTGGCAAACGCCTATTGCATATATCGGGATGTTGGAGCAAAAGGTCTAGCTCTTCTTTAACGACTACTAGTCGTAACCTGTCACTGCTGTCTATTACAAAAATTATTCCATTACAGTCCTTGTAGTAATGTTCCCAAAGGTCCCGATACCTTCCATGACCAGACATGTCGAAAGCTGTGAAGGCCAAATTCTGATCTGAAATTTTAGAGACATATCTATTAAGAATTGATCCTATAAATCAAGCCGAATTTTTTTGTGTTTGCAGTAATAAATACTTGTAAGCGACGAGTCTGCCATTTTGTCAAAAAATTATTATATTTAGATGCAGATTTTCCATGTAGTAACAGTCATTGTTTTTGTGTAGAAAATTAAACATAAAGTAGCCAAACGTGTGTAGGTATGTATTTTAGAACGATACTTCAACAATAGAATAATTATTTTTATTGAAGTGCTTTTGAAGCATATTTATCGTGCCTAAATCAAGAGAATATTCGCAAAATAGTATCGGTAAACTAGTTTAAGAATTACATTTTGGATTCGTAAGTACTTTTGATCATGAACTAAAAAAAGTGAACGAAACTACCAGGCCAGCCTTTATTTCAGTTTCACCATTACACGAGATGTCCGCGGGCTTTCGTAACGTGGGTCCTTCAAAAATATCACAAAACATTTTCACTTAATCGAAGCAAATTTTTCCATCTACCCTCGTTCAGACCGACGACCCACTTATTTTAGGTCCCATATTTTAACCTAACGCCTACATACAAAGCAGCAAAAACATTTTATCAAAGTTGCATGTTTACACGAAATAATTTTATAATAAAAAGATATACTCACTCTGGAATCTCTCCACCGCAAATCCAACAGTTGGTACAATTTCTGTAACTCTTTCATCTTGGTTCTTGAATCGGTTCACCACTGTTGATTTTCCACTGTTGTTCAACCCAACGACTAAAACGTTCACTTCCCTTTTTCTTACGCCCAAAAACTGTACCAGCTTTTGGAATATACCCATAGTACCAAATTCGGGAACATTTGCAGTAAACCAAAAGCAGGCGTAGCACTCGTGTCTGTATAGACGCGTTTCTATGGTAACCAGCACGAAAACCATATAAACATTATCATGAAACGGTATTCATACATGTCGGAGTGAGTTGTAAATGCCAAAAAACGCAGATCTCTTTGATTTGCTGATATCTCGGTAATCTTGAATCATGATTTTACCGAAAAAAGAATAATAAACATCGTCGGCTTTCATGCGCTGAATATGGATTTTATAGTTTCCTTTTTTAAAAATGATCTGCATGGAATAGTCGCTGGATTTTCAGGAAATTTGAGCCGGGCTGAAGATCCGGCTTCGAACACTGCTCACATAATTGGGATGCTACCCAGTAGCGACGCGTGACTTTTCCTAAACTGTTAACAAAACCAGATGTGAAAAATCTTATTTAAAAAAAATTTTATTTGAACTATTTTTAAATAGGTAAACATTCCTAGACTGAGCGTCTGGGGCACTTGATATACCTCATCGTCTTATGCTATAACTAATCCAAGCCGTCCGAAAAAACAGTCGACGTTTCTAGATGTTCGGAAAATTTTTGAACTTTTTTGGCAATGAATGTTAACAATTCCCTGTAATTTCCTCTATTATCATAGTCATCCCCTTCAAAATGAACGGTAATTTCTGTTTTGCCAAAAAATATACGGTATCTAGAAGTGTGCTGCCTAAAAGCTTGGTTAAGACAACTTTCGATTCTTGTTTTGCCAAACTGAATTAAATTGGCTACACATCTCACATGTAACGGAGAAATTTCATGTCTCCTCTTTAGAGCCCTAAAACTATTTAAATCGTTGACTCCGCTGCATTTTATTCTGTATAAAACAGAAGACATCGCCGACAATACAATCTGTCTTTTTACAACCACATAAACAAGAGTTTCCATATACCAACTTAATTTAAAATATCAAACTACTTTTTTATTCCTTTTTAAAATCATTTAAAATAGGCGTTGGGCTTCCATTTTCAATGATCTCCTTTTAGTCGCAGCGTCCCATGCACTGGGGCGACCGCGATCAGACACGAGACGGTACCGACGGTTCCCGAAAGCCTACCAAGTCAAGTGTATCCATAAATGAAAATGGAAACAACCAAGTCCAGGCGAGTCAGCTTCATCGTGTTCGCAAAACCTAGACTCTATAGGGCGCATTATTTTCGTGGGGCTAATTTGCTATTTACTGAATTACTATTACATATCGCTGTTGGTAAACAAATAAATTAAATTATTTCACAGTACTTAGTCATAAAGATTATTTTAGATTTTTAACTGTTACCAATGGAAGAAGATTGACCGACTGATCGATGACACTTTTCTAACGGAAAACGACACAATTTCTACGACATTTGTACGATTTTCACTTCCTATCTCCCAAATTGCGATAGGTTTCTGGTTTTTCATTACGAAAAAAATTAATTTCGTGAATTTTTTGTTTTGGAAGGCATTCGAATTGTCAGCCCAAGAAAACAATGGAAAGCGTCTAGAAAATCACTTTTGATTGAAATATCTACCGAACAAATTATCAGATCGCAATTTGGATGTCATTTCAGAATCATCCATAGCTAAAAAGCTAAAATTCATATTTTTTCCTAACCTTGAAACACTGACGCGTCTCTAGAGCCAAACGGCTTGACCTAGGAGTTTGAGATTTTACAAAGTCGTATACCTCCATAGATTCTCTTCAGAAAACAAATTTGATCCCGCTATGAGATATGATCCACCGTCCAGTATCGTGAAAATTCTCGATTACCAAAATTTCGAAAATTGGATCCAAAGGCACCTCCGACCAATTTAAACGCCCGAGTGCAAAATTTCATTAATACATGCACTTAGGCTCGTTAATCTCCGTTTGGGAAGGCATTCCAATTGTCAACACAATAAACCAATCTATAATTTCGAAAAAATCACTTCTGACTGATATCTCTGCTGAACAAATTCTCATATCAAAATTTGCAGATCATTTTTTACTTACTTGGATAATTTTACTTCGAGATAGTCATATTATGGGGCCTAATCCTTTTCAATGGTAGAAGTAGCAAGCAAATGGAAAAAAGTTGCCAATACGTTAAAATTCACATTTTTGCTGAACCTTGAACAAGCCAGTACGTCGTTCTTGCCTACAGTCACCAGAAAGTTGTTCAAGATCTCTGTAGAAATATTAGGTCCACTTTATCCAAATTGACTGAGCTATCGAAAATCGAATGAAGAGTTAAATAAATCACAATGGTTACTGTTGGTTGATACAGCGGTTAAAAATTCCAATTGGCTATAAACATTATTAATTGATTGTAAAAGTATTTACCGTGCATTATCTTATCACTTAAAAGATAAACGTACACACTGAACACGTGAATACAATAGTTTACAGGTGGAGATGGCAGAGGAGAAAAAAATATAGTTTCGGTCAAAATTCAAAATGTTTTGCTGCAGAAAGAAAAAATCTGATGTTTACTCAGTGAAGGAGAATTTAGGAGAAAATAAGGATCCGAAACCGGGTAAATCAACTACATTTGATGCCTAACGGAATATATTTAATTTTTTTGTTTCAGTACCTGAAGCATACACGACCACAGAAGATGCAAAACCTGGTCAACGGGAGACGCATATACCTGGAACCAATACAAGTACAAATGAGGAGGACAACTACAGTGAACACAACGTTATACCTCGTGAAAGAACGGCATCCCAGTGCAGTTTTTATAGTATAAGATCAGTGTATTCGGTAGCAAACACAGAGGGGGATTTTTACAGTATATGCAGTGCAGAATCTTTTAAAAGCACGTGAGTGAAATTATACAAAAGTTATACAAATATTAATGTTTAAATCACTATAATTATATTTTTTTTTGTAAAAAGTGTCTTCGTTTCTTGAATTACTATTTACGAATGCGGTGGTTTCATCTGATGACTAAATAGTAAAAACAAGCTTTTTCGAAATTCAACCTCATTCTGTCATGTATCAGTAGAACAGCATTAAAGATCAAGCGACGACAGGAATTAATGAACCTCAATACATAATTTCCCTGACCTATTCCAATTACCTAAACAGATAAAAGTGCTATCTTCCGGATTTACATTGCCGCAATTTGAAGTAGGTATTTGATTGGAGATCGGAGATAAGCTCGTCGGAAAGATCTGAAAAAACTACGATTGATTTAAACAATATATATGTTTATTTTGTTACAATGACATCATTTTATATCGGCTGACACAGACTGGGAAAGTACGTTGTTTGAATAGTAACACAAAAGTGTCTAGATTTTGTTTTTAAATGAGACATCAAGTACTTTTTACACAATGTTACAAATACCACCGCAAACAAACAACAAAATTAGGTAGATATTTACGAAAAAAAAACTTAATCACGCTGTATCTTGAGAACCAAGAATTTGCGACGTTTAGATGAACTTTTTATCTTGAAATAACTCAAAAAATCGTCTGCTAAATTTATGGCACATACGAGTACTTAATTATATACAATGTATATGCAATCCAAAAATTTCATTCGTTATTCAAGTGCTATATTATTTTTTTTTTCTTATTTGGTGCAATTTCTGGTTGAACATACATTGTCTTGTATCGTGCGTGTTGCTGAATGTAAGTTTTAATACTCATAAGAACGGCCCTTGCTATTTTTATTTAAAAAGTGACCTTAACATGACGGCTTTTTTTAATGTAGTTCGGACAGAGAATGATTTTTATTTGTGTGAATTACTGCCATGAATAATGCATTATTTTGACTTCAGTTTTAATTTATACCTTCGTGAACAGCAGTTTCCTTTACATTTGAGCATAAAAAATCGATGTACGTTACCTTGGAATATATGGAAAAATAAGTAACATTCAAAATATAAAAGTCTATATTCATACATAATGACATTATCTTAACAATATATAACAAATGACTTCGCTAATTAAAAAATTCACTAAAATCCCCTGACGCTCTTTATAGCGTTCATCTCGCTATCCTGAGACATCATTTGGTACTCGCTGAATTCCATTGTGAAAGTAGCTGTACCGGACGTTATAGTTCTCAACATTGTAGAGTATCCCAGCAGTTCAGCTAGAGGTGCTTTGGCAACGATTAGCTGAAAAAAAGTTTGCGTCAAGTAGGTTTCATCTACCTCTGTTCGGATAGACCTATAGCGCATTGCAGAGGTAGCTAGGAGAGACGCGTATAGCTCTTATCATTGTGTATTGGAAGTATAGGGTATCCAGTGGGGAAGTTCACTTTTTGATTTAAGAAAAAAAATACGAAATTCTACGCATTTACGCGGGTGAAGTGAAAGTAACGATCATGGTACTTCAATCAAATAAGTCTCATATCAGTTTCTCATAAATGCGATTCAAAGGCAAAAACCACAAAATATTCCACTGTTTTAGGTACTGATCATCTTAATAGGATATTTGTCACTGGTATTTTTTTGTCTGGATGCCAGAAAAAAGTTTCACTACGCTTCAATATTAATTTGACTGCTATGCTCTTGTTCTGTGGCTAGGCTATTTGTATCATTCCAGATTCCAGTATTTATTCTACTACAAGGCGTTTTCTTTGGTGGATTTTTATCGGAGGTGTATGAAATTCATCACTCTATGTCCAGAACAGGTGAGATAGAAATGTCCAGATTTATGAAGAAAAATACAAACTTAATGAAAAGAAAATATTTATCACTACCAACATATTCGTAAATTCGGCGAGTTTTATTTCCTAAATATCATTCCGTCCAAATGTTTGTCACACTCTTCTAATCGCGCGCGCAAATTCTGTAACACTCTCTTGCAGAGTTCCGGACTGATGTTATTTATTTCTCATCGAATGTTGTCTTTAAGCTCCTCCAGTGTTCGTGAATTATTGTAACATGCTTTTGACTTTAGATAACCCCACAAAAAATAATCCCATGGCGTGAGGTCGGGTGACCTAGGAGACCAGTGAATGTCTCCAAACTTTGATATAACTTTTTGAGGAAAAAGTGTTTTCATCGATTCTCTGGAACTATGGGCAGTGACCAGATCCTGTTGAACCACGTTTTTCTGTTCAATCGACGTTCTGTTCTTATAATAGTAGCAAAAAAAAGTGTCAATCATGTCTTTGTATCGCTCGGAATTGACTGTCGATACACGACCGAATCACTTACTCGACGCACATTTTCTTCGGTTGATACAGTAGGTGTGGAGCCAGGAATGGCTCGACTAAGAATAGAGCCTGATGCACGGAACCTCTTAATCCTCTTCTTCAATAGGTTCTTACTTGGGGCATCTTTTGGTCAGCGAATGTTATACCGTGTACAAAATTTCGGAAGGGCAGCTGCGTATGAGTCACCAGTCTTAAAGTAAGCCTCGATAACAAAAGCACGTTGTGCTCTGGTCCGACGTTCCATGATGACCTCTCCCTACTTCCTCGCGTATACCATTGGCGCCTAATTCAAATTTGAAGTGTGAACTTTCCCACTGACCAACCTCTATATCCTCTAGCAGTCTTCAGGGCAAATGTTCGGGGAAATCTATGATGTAAGCAATATGCGTAGAATTAGCGGGGTTGGAAGCATATAGATATACTAACGCCAGAAAATATGGATAGATATCTTATTTTTTCGCCATTACAATACTTCCTAGCCCGTGACGTAGAAAGTTATAAGTTCAAAATGACAATCTACCTGACCAGATCAATGCGACAATTTAAATCGTATCGCTAGAAAAACAAAACCAACGAAATGTTTCACATTTAGGACAATTAACATCAACAATCTAAGAGAAGCTATCTCAAAATTGAAGTATAATAAAAATCCAAGTGAGAATCTCTCAAAAAATATTCTAAATGATTGTTTCAATATAATTGGAGAGAAATTATTATTACTGGTGAATGATTGTTTAGTACATGGTGAATTCCCTTCAAAATTAAAGTGTTCCACCATTAGTCCTGTGCCAAAAGTTCAAAATTCTCAGCTCTATACAAATATGCGGCCGATTTATGTCTTGCCCGATGTCGAGAAGCTGTTCGAAGGAATATTATACGAACACATCATAGAATTCATTGAAGAAACCAACATTTTGATAAAAAATCAAGCTGGATTTAGAAAAAAATGTTCCACAGAAACGGCAATCCAAATGGTGGTGGAAGACTGGAGAAGAAGTATAGATGAGAAAGAATATATTGTAACAATATTTTTAGACCTCAAAAGGGCATTTGTGACTATAGATAGGGAAATATTGTTAATGAAATTGCGTCACTATGGCTTTAAAGGATCAGTATTACACATTTTACAAAATATTTAGTAAATAGAAGTCAAAAAAATATGGAAATATTATGTCAAGTATTCAAAATATATCAGTAGGGGTGCCACAGGGGAGTAAATTAGGGCCGTTACTATTTATTATTTATATAAATGATATCTCTGACATTTTAGAACACTGCAAAATTCAAATATATGCGGACGATACACTTTATATATATATACAGGGTTATCCAAATTAAGTGTCCACCATTAGTAACTTTGTTATTAGTGAAAATACAAAGTTGTTTGAATTAGCAAACTAGTAGCATTTTTAACGCTGGTAAAAATGAGAAATAAAAAAAACAATTGAGAGTCGTTATTTTGATTTTTTTCAGTAAAATAACATTTTTTTAAGTGGAAACCCTTGTATATTATATTTTTTTCTGTTAAAGCATCAAATTTTAAACAAAAAAGTTCATAATGACTTTTCCGCTAAAGTCAAAAATAAAGTCAAAATAACGATAAATATTTTTAATTATTTGCAGTATTATAATATTAAGACGGCTATGAAAACAACATGGCGTTCGCGATTTGACAGCATTAAGATAAGCGACAAATTGTTAAACTGGACATACTCGCAACTAGAAGGCTTTGGAAAACAATGATAAAATCAAATAATGTCAAACATTAGTGTAAATACTTGTTTATAAGCTTTATTGTGTCATTAATTTAAAGAAAAATGTTCTCCCATGAAGAAAAGTGTGATATGTTAGAATGCTATTTAGTGTGCAGAAAATCCTCCTTGAGAGCAAGAGAATACTACAGTGAATTATATCCCGCTCGCATTCAACCGTATGAACGATATTTTCTGAGACTTTATCGAAAATTTAGGGGCAACGAAAATGTTTTTGCTAAAACAAGGGCAAAAAAAGAATTCATAATAAGCGAGGCCACGGAAATTGCAGTTATTGGATATTTTGAAGCTTATCGTGAGAATTCAATAGCAGATATTCTCAAGGACTCTAATTTCAGTTATGGTACTGTTCAAAGGATTTTAAAAAAATACAAATTTATTCCGTATAAGTACCGACCAGTTCAAACGCTTTTGGCAGGGGATCCAGAGAGAAGACTTGTTTTTTGCCATTGGTATCTTAGCTTCTGTCGCCAAAATGTAAATAACTTTCGTTACCTTTTATGGACAGATGAATCAAATTTTTCAAATTCTGGAATGTTTAATAGAAAAAACCACCATTATTGGTCAAGAGAAAATCTTTTGTTAGTACATCCAAGAGGCCCACAAGTCCGTTTCAGTTTCAACGTTTGGTGCGGTATAATTGGTTCAAAAATTGTTGGGCCGTTCTTTTATGAGGGAACCCTAACTGGTGAAAGATATGTGGAATATATGTCAGAAATTCTGACTAATTTCTTAGACGAATTGGATCTTATAAGTAGACATCATCTGCATTTTCAGCAAGATGGCGCACCTGCCCACAACTCCAGAGGTACTTATCATTTTCTAAGTACTACTTTTAATGATCAGTGGATAGGAACAAATGGCCCAATACAGTGGCCTCCCAGATCACCAGATCTAAACCCACTTGATTACTTCTTGTGGGGTTACTTAAAGAACCAAATTTACAAGCGAAGGTACGATAACCTTGACGCGTTAAAGACTGCAGTTAGGGAAAAGATAACCCAGATAGATGGTAGGACCATACTTAAGACAGTTCGAGCAGTTGAAAAACCTGCCCGAAAATGTATTGAAGAACAAGGTGGTGTTTTCGAGCATCTTCTTTAAAAAAAATTGTTATTGTATTTTGTAAGATTATAAGTTGATGTTGAAAATAAAGTTTGTCGATACAATTTAATTGTTTCAGATTGGAGGCCATAACTTCAACAATTTGTAACCTAGGAGAAAAGTTATTGTAAGCTTTTTTGTTTAAAATTTGATGCTTTAACAGAAAAAAATATAATATACAGGGGTTTCCATTTAAAAAAATGTTATTTTACTGAAAAAAATCAAAATAACGACTCTCAATTGTTTTTTTTTATTTCTCATTTTTACCAGCGTTAAAAATGCTACTAGTTTGCTAATTCAAACAACTTTGTATTTTCACTAATAACAAAGTTACTAATGGTGGACACTTAATTTGGATAACCCTGTATATATATATACAGGGTGACTTCGAAGTTGAGTCATTTATTTTAACAGTGAGTAGATCTGATCAAAAGAAATGTTTTTCTCCTTTACCATTTTTCTGGTAAAATTAAAGTAACAAAGTTATAGCCCTTTGGAAGTTTGAGTACCGCCCTGTCTCAATAATAATATTATGTGCTCGTGTTTGTCGACAACGGATATAATCCGCCTTATCGCTTCATCGCATCGGAAACAAAAAGCGAAAGAATTTGGAACGATGTTTTTACAATTATTTCATTCAGTTGTATACAGTCGGTATCAGTCGGTAGTGAATAGTGGTGTCTGTTGGGTGGCTCAAACGAAATAAAAAATGGCACATGTTTATGCGGATCGGTTTCCCAATCGAGTGCAACCAACCCCTCGTGCCTTTGTTAATGTAGTACAACGAATTCGTGAATCATTTGACTTAAGACCTCACATATGGACGGCATGCCGGTGCTCCAAGACCTCACGATCAAATACAGGTCCGCACTGAAATACTTGTCGGGAGGATACTTTATAAACCAAGGTAATTTTTTTTTTATTTTTACACACATATTTTGGTTTATCTTCCTTCTACAATCATTATCTGAAAATTAATGACTCAACTTCAAAGTCACACTGTATATATATAGCACATAAGCATTTGGACACTGCTTTAGAACTGTTAAATAGTGATATTGAAAAATTATAAATTGGTTAAATGTCAACAAACTTAAATTAAACACTAATAAAACAAAATGCATGTCAATAGGGAAACATTCAGGTGACAATACAATTAGGCTCATGATTAATGATGTCATTTAAATATCTTGGTATATATGTGGATAGTAAGCTACTGTTTCACGAACATTATGAATCCATTATTTCAAAAATATCGAAAAAGATGAATTACTTCCATAGTGTCCCATAATATTAGTATGTATTCCAAAAAAATTGTATAACACTATAATTATTTCATATTTTTTATATTGTTCAACCATCTTGCTTACAGCAAATGCAAACATATTTTCAAAACTACAAATTCTACAAAATAAAGCTATGAGAATCATTTTAAATAAAAACAAATATGCTAGGATTAAATCTATGTTAGAAGAACTGCAGTGGTTGGATGTGAAAAATTTCATACATTATTTAGTTCGCGTTTTCATATTCAAATTAAAAAATCATTTATTACCACCACATTTAGAGAACTTCACAAAATAGTCATTATCATAACTACGAAACTAGAGCTAGTATAGATTTTCATCTGCAAAATTGTAACTGGTACCATAACTAGTAAATCTATATTTCAAAAGGGAGTATTTGAATTTACTAAATTGAATCATGATATTAAACAGAGTTCGAATTTAAAAATGTTTAAGGTGAAATTAAAGAATCACTTTATGAATAATCAAAATGCATAGTGACGTAATTTTAATTTTAATAGACAAGAATGTAAAATTACAGAAAATGGATTGAAGAATAATATGTAACCGAATCACTATACAAAATCGACATTGTAGCATTAATGCTGAATAAATCTTCAACAACAACAAAAATTTGTCAATAGAGGTAGACAAAGTCTGTACAAATGGACTCTTACCTTTCCTGTACCTCTTAAAGCAACAGTACTTATAGCAGCTCTTCTCCTAGAAATATCTGCCAATACTGGTGTCAAAACTTCCTCTGGCACTACTATTTCTAAATGCATTACAGGTTCCAAGATGTTCGCTCCTGAATCTTTCAGCAACTATAATAAAAGAAAAAATATTTGGACCTAGGTTTCGATAATGGAAAGTGTTTTGATTACCTTTTGAACTAATTGCGTCGCAGCAGCCGCGATCATTGTGTCCGACGTACCTCTGCCAACTTCCAAATGGTGTAACATAATTTGAGCATTAACAACCTAGGAAATACAAAAAAAATAGGTTTCAGATACATATGGCAATAAGCTTGAAAACCACCATAAATGTCACCTCAAGCAGAAAATTTTGAATGTACTTCACACCCTAATAAAAATGTGTAAATAATTTAGCTCCTGGAACAGAAACATTAAGATTCGGGACTCACATAAATATTGACACAAATATCGAAAATAAATACCTGACATCCAACTTTTGGTCCGTGGGCTAGCCCCACTTCAATTCCTTGCTTAACCGCAAGCATATGTTTGGGAAATATGGCCGCGATATTACTAGCTGCATCTGGTGTCTTATCAAATGCCAAAATATCTTTTTTCGAACTTTCATTCTCCAATGGTATTAAAGATAATCTTATATTTACAAACTGCTTGCTGGTCCCTATTTTGGTTTCGAGTACGAAACTATCTGTTGCTCTGCTGATAGGGGATTCACGATAAGCGATTTGCAGAGGTCCCAGATCTGCGTCCACCTTGTATTCTTTCAGAATTCTGTCTCTGATTATTTCCAAGTGTAATTCTCCCATACCTGAAAGTTATAAGATGATTTATACATAAAACGTGAGTAGTGCCGAAAAATCCAAGATATTACCTGCCAAAACAGTCTGACCAGTTTCAGGATCATGAGTGACTCTCAGACTGGGATCTTCTCTCTGCAACTCATAGAGGGCGTTCTCTAGAGCTGTCTGTTGACTTAAGCTTGATGGTTCGATTGAGCAGAAAAATACGGGTTCTGGGGGAGTTACTCCTATTCCCAGTAGCTTGTCGATGTCTTTTTCATCTTGAGTCCTCCCTTTCTGTTTGTTATGCTCCAACATAGACTTTTTTGCTCGCTGACTGGCTGTCGCTGAATTTGTAACGATATCACCGGACATGATTTTCTTGAAGACAAAGATAACACATATTGAAAGAAATAGACTTTAAACGACATAGATATAAGTACATATGACCAGCCATTATCAAGTACCTTCAATCCTGTTAGTACAGCAATATTTCCATTTTTGACAGACTCAACTTCCTCGAAATCATCCGCAAAAGCTATGTACAACTTTCCTGCCTGCTCAGAACATTCTTGTTGGATACTGTAAATCTTTTGTCCTTTGTTAAGGGTTCCTATAAATAAATAGTTCCACTCTATATTATACAAAGTCTCGCTAAAGTTTATAACTAACACTTACCATTGTAGATTCTAAAAAACACTAGGGGGCCTTTGTGTTTGTCGTGCGTTACTTTGAACGCTCTTGCACACAAGTGATCTCCGAAAGCTTTATAATGCTTATTTCTTTCATTTGGCGAAGGTAGATACAAAATGGCTGCGTCCATCACAGATTGTACTCCAACATTTTTGTATGAACTGCCTAGCATAACTGGAACTGCCGCCTTAAACAAACTTTTTGAGCATTGGTATTGTGCACATAACATAAAACTCGTAAAAGTAAATTTTACAATGATACGAGACAGCTCTAGTTTGAGTAGATAAAAAACACTTTTATTCGATGGACCAGTAAATAGAATAGAATTTATCATATAAACCACAGAATAAGTTTCAGAATCATATAGTTATTCTATATTACCTGTTTATAAGTGACATTCCTAAGAGCCTCTACAATATCGCTGGTATTAATATTGTCTAGAGAATTTGCTTTTATGACATTTTCGGCCAGTTTATCGTCATATTCCGTCAGTTTATCAATGAGTGCTGATCTAGCTAATTTTGCATCATTCCAGTACCTTGGATGACTAGATTTTGTAATGGGCGCTTTATTCACGGCTTTTTCTTTTGTACTATAAAACATCAATTCCATATTCAATATATCTATGACAGCCTTAAATTTTCCATCTTCTACGACGGGTAACTGAATGAGTAAACTAGGTGTATCTAACTTTTTTTCAATAGATTCACAGCACATTGAAATGTCTGCATCTCCTCGGTCCATCTTATTGACGTAAATTATTCTGGGAATATTATATTTATCAGCCTGCCTCCAAACTGTCAATGTCTGTGCTTCAACACCTGGACGAATAAAAAACAATAAAAAAGTTGAAAAATAAAAAATATACAAAGGTTCAATAAAGGAAAATCGCTCAGAGAACAGAACAAGAATATCACACAGGGGTATTATGTACTTTTGAAAAGTGACACTAGTAATGTGCTGGCATTTGACTCCCTTTGATGTAATGGAAATATTTAGTCCCCCATTTACTCCGGATTTTTTATATTTGAGTGACTTTGACTGTGAAGTGACTTGCATTATGGAGTAATAAACAAGCAATAGTTATGTGGTCGTAACTACATATACAGTAATGGACAAAAGTATATAGACAAATTTGAATATTTACCTAAATACTGTTAGAAAACTAATTCATACTTCATTGCTCCATAAACAAAGTCGTTACTAGTAGAGAAACTAAATTCCTTGTTCTTACATTATCTGCAATGAAGACAATACAAGTCTGAATATAAGCACTTTTTTATGAGAGACAAAAATATGTAGACAAATTCTTTTCAACATTAATTTAGTACAGTTTCGTGTCAGAAGAGGGTTAGTTTGTGTTCATCAAGTATTGTGGAATAGGTTGAGTAATTTTAAGACCATGCCCCGTGATCCAGAAATTTCTGTCGATGTGAAAACTAAGATCATTGAGTTGTACAAAGATGGTCAACATCAAGTCGACATTGCCAAAAATTTGAGACTGAAGCGTAAAGCAGTTTGAGTAATATTGAACAAATATAAACAAAAAGGTATCTTGGAAGCCTCTAAGAGAAGTGGTCGGCCTAGAAAACTAAATGCTAGATCAGTTAGATTAATAAAAGTAATTTTGTGCAAAGATCCGTTTAAAACCCCAAGACAAATAAAAGCCGAAATCGAGACAAAAGAAATTGTCAGTGTTTCTATGAAAACTATAAAAAGAAGATTATATGATTTTAAGTTATTTGTACGTCGCCGGAATAAGAATCCGTTAATCTCAAGGAAAAACCGTAAGGACCGATTACAATTTGCACGGTTGAATCTTGATTGGAGCATCTGTGACTAGAAGAGAGTATGTTTCAGTGACGAATCCAAGTTCAATATATTTGGATCAGATGGTGTTCATTACGTTAGACGTCCTAGTGGACAAAGATTGAACCCCAAGTACACTTTCCCCACTGTCAAACATGGAAGCGGGTCTGTTATGGTTTGGAGGTGCTTTTCGGGTTTTGGGATGGGACCATTACATAGAATAGATGGCATTATGGATAAGTTTGTATACACAGACATACTGAAGCATGTCATGTTACCCTATATGGAAGACAATATGCCCTTAAGATCAATCTACCAGCAAGATAATGACACAAAGCACACTTCAAATCTCGCAAAGAAATTCTTTCTGGATGACAAAATACCAGTTCTCAAATGGCCTTCACAGTCTCCCGATATCAATCCCATTGAAAATCTATGGGAATACTTAGTTAAGCAAATACGAGATAAAAATTATTCAAACAAAGATGAACTTTTTGACACTTTAGAGCTAAAGTGGAGACAGACTGATGAATCTTATATCAAAAAACTTCTACAATATATGCCAGGGGGTGTTTCATAATAACGGTTATGCTACAAAATATTAACACAAACATGGTTGGTTTTCTATAATTCAATAAACTTTGCTTCTTTTTTCTATTATTGTTTTGATTTGTCTATATATTTTTGTCCTTCATAGTAATTTTCACTGTTATACATCAAATATTGTTCGAAATATTTAAAAAAACTATTTTAGAAAGTAAATTTAAACACCCTGTATTTCGGAAGCCACGCATTTTTCGACCCATGTTTATATAGACTTTATGCATTAATTTTAAAAGTTCTATCGAATCTTAAAGTTATGCAACAATAAACTGAAACACCCTGTATATTTGTGTCCTTCATAGTTCCAGTTTTTTTCAATTCATTTTTTAGTGAAGGGAGTCTAATGAATTTATTTATGTATAAGTGAGTATTATGCTATAATGAATTATTTATACAGGTTGATATATTAATAAAACAAGTTAAAAAAGAAATACAGCACATTAATTTGTCTATATACTTTTGTCCATTACTGTATCTGGACAATATTTTTGCAATGTGTAGACACATATTCTTATCAGAATTTCTCATCAGAAAAACTGCAAAATCAAGCAAGAATGACTGATGAAATTGCACACATTGCAGCAGCTTATATTACATTCAGAGGGACTCCAACAATTCTGCAATCTGACAGCGACATATAAAAGTAGGTCGGAAATGTATAGTAACATAGCTGGGTAGTAAAAGTATAGCCCATTTAGAAATGAAAACAGTAAGATTACAAAGACAGTAAACATACTATGGTGTCAAAGTGGGTTGTGAATGGATGGAAAATCACATTATATAAATATGCTTATGGAATTCTCAACTGATAAAACTGCATTGATAATGAGAAATATGCTGTAGAGTTCAATAAACAAATACATTTCATTTGAAATCCATATAAAACAAAGGAATCTAAAGAATATAATTCCTAGTTATCTCGGTACATAGTACATTATATAACAATAGCTATTCCAAATATGTAGTGGAAATGCCTGTTTGCACATCATTTTGAGTGTGTTCAATGTAAAAGCCCCTATTGTATCTTTCTAAACAAGATAAGAAAAAATGGGTCACAAACTTATTATTACACAACAGTTTGCTTTAAGGTAAGGCAGGTGACAACTATACAGTTATATAATGTTAAAGAACAGAACATGGAATTTGATAAGTTTTCTGCAAAATTAGAATTTTGTTTTCTGGCATTAATCACTAGAAATTTGTAATAAGAATATTTGTTTTTGAGTATCTGGATCTATGGGTGCCTGCACAAATTTTTTTGGTGGGCTGATCACCATCAAAAGATAAATTTAAAATGTATGACCTGAAAACTGTTTAAACTACATGGGGCAGCAAATTTTCTCAGGGAAAAGGGATATATAATCCTAAGAAAAACTTCTACACTAAACTGTGAGGATGTTAAGGTCCAACCTGATTCTCAGAGGATGCGCAGCTCCCCTCTGCAGATGCTTGTGTCTCTACCTTGAAGGTGGAGCAGCAGTTCCCTGTCTGTTGTTGGATACAATTTTGAAATAATGAAATTATTTTTGCAAGAGTTGTAGATTTTGTTATAATAAACTTGTTGAAGTAAGAGTGATTAAAAGATTGATAAGAAAAATGAATATGAAAAGGGGTGAATTTTACACAAAAAGTTTACATATATACTACGAAAAGCAGGCAACTGCAAAGGTTCTCAAGCTAATGATTCAAAAGTTTGTCAAATTGTCAAAAGCTAGTACTATATATTCTCCACAAGAGCTTGAAACATTTCATCAGGATGAACATAAATATAACAATAACTTACCTGCTGAGCCATCTAAAACAACTACAGCCCCATCCAAAACATTCAATGTCTGTTCAACTTCCATGGTGAAATCAATATGACCTGGTGTATCAATCAAATTGAACTGATGTTTCTTCCAATAAAATGTGATAGCTGCGGAAGTTATGGTTATTCCCCTTTCTCTTTCTTGGGTCATATAATCTGTTACTGTGTTACCATGATGCACTTCGCCCATGTGTTGAATCAAGCCAGAAAAGTATAGCATTCTCTCTGTCGTTGTTGTTTTACCTGAAAAGACATTAGAAAATTAAATATATACTTCGATCTGGATTCTTTCAAAGACAAACCTGCATCTATGTGAGCCAGAATCCCAATATTTCTGATTCGTTCAATAGGAATGTCTTGGATTTTCTTAATGGTGCTATATAACCGATATAATGTTTTCATGAAACTGATTTTTTGTATATTTATGTACATTTTGATTATATATTCGGTATTATTTTTTTGAAATCAGTTTGAATGTGATTTTTGCTACTATTTACATTATTATAACCTCAAATCATAACGTCAACGTCAAAACCAAATGTCATTCATAGAACGAAATTTAGTTCCGGACATTGATAGCCAAAAAACTGTTGGATAAGAAGTTACAGCGTTCACCATATTCGTTAGTGAATGGCAAAAAGCCTCCATATATTTGAATGGTTTGACAAATGATTCTACTCGAATGAATCGTACCGATTCAGATTACTCTGCTTTCTTTTTGCTTCAGCCTTCATAAGATACTTAGCTCGTATAGATGAACGATGACGTGCAAAATAGCGAGAGGTCTAACGATCAAATGATTTGTGCCTCTACTTCTTGGTGCTCTGACCTTGAGACAAAATAAGGTCAAGACCGTTGATGTCAAAATATGTATTAAACATGAATCGCTGTTAAAATTAAAAATTATCTAATGTTTATGCAAAAATAGTAATATGTGATACTGTAATCTTGAGCAAAAGTAACGTACGGTAACAATGGACACTCGATCTCCTTTAGAAAACATCTTTAGTGTGATAGGAAGTCTGCCTCAGGGTCACGACAAACCTGTAAAACATGCCCTTTACAACGCAGTTGCTTTATTTATCTTATTTTTAAGCTGTGCAGCAGGATATGCAGTATACATGATTCTGGAGCCCTTTATAAAGCCCTTGATGTGGGCTGTGCTAGTTGGTTCTGCCCTACATCCCATCAAAAGGTCTCTGCGCTACAAGTTTCAGACATGGTTTGAAACTTTGGAATGTACAAACACACCTGTAGTATTCGGAATCATCTTGATACCATACAACATCGTGAATGACCTCTCAGAGTTTATTGGCGAGATTATCTGGACAAGGCTAAAGCTCATTATTGCTGTGTGCATTCTGATACCTGTTCTGCATTTAGTTTACTTTTACACACCAAAGATTGTTGTTGCTGTAATATGGCAAGTGATAGTTTTCTCATTTAAGTCCCTAAACTTCATATTGAATATCTCCTCATTTTGGTTGGTGAGTATGCTTGTTTCTCTCTTATAAGCTTACATTTATGACCAAACAGAAATCTTTAATGATCATGTATGGCATCTATTTACAAAGGATAGTTACAGTGTCAGACAGAAGACATATTTTGCCTAAGCAGTATAATATCAGGATATTTTATTGATGTCAATTGGATATCTGACAATCCAATAAGATTCAAATTAATCTGTAATCAAATTCAAGCGGATAACCAAATGGAAATGGTATTTACCATTTTGGGTTGGTATTTACCAATCCGTTCAAGCGAGTGTAGTTATCAGTTTGGTTATAAGATCCGTGACGTCACGAATCAGCTGTTATATGTCATAGTTATCACCGCAAAATTGTGGTATTTACCCAACTCAAGAGTAGTTTTATATTTCTGGTTATTATTTGAAATGTGACAAGTTAGAATTTTGCCGGGTATTGGATATTGTTATTGTACTTCAGCTTCATTTTTGAGAAAAATAATACAGGCTGACTTCAGGTTTACCATAAACTGGAGCACCTTATTAGTTATACTCATTACGGTTGTTGGGGACACTTTAAATGTAGTTCCTATGCTTAACAAAGTATCCTGTGTAGCCATATACCACAAGAATATTAAAATATGGCCATATAAACTCACTAGATGATATCCACCTGTATATGGTTTTGCTAATTTCTTTTTTCATCATTTCTGCTGAATCAATAAATGTTTTCTTTGACATGCGGAAAATTTTAGAGAATTGAAAGTTATCATAGCTACAAAGCCATGGTTCCATCATTAAAAAAAAAATCTGAAAAAACATTTCTCCCATGAATATTATGAAAGGTTTCTTATTTAAACTTTCCATATACAGTTGTAGACGAAAAAGCACCGATTATTAAGTGATAATAAAAATATTCAGAGATTATATACGCGCTTTTCTAAAATAAACAACTTGCAACAGAACCGCGGTTAAAACCAACGCGTTCAAGCGATTCGTGTAACTGACGTCATCAACCCTTGTGTCATCTTGAACCATATTATAACCGCGGTACATAACACAGAAATTTTGGTTATTCGCTTGGATTTGATTTGTGTTTTGTGTATATTCATAATTTATTTACAGTTTGTCATTTCTGAAATATGATAATTGGATGTGTAAATATTCTAGCAAGTTTCGAATTTCATGTCTATTAAAGAAATACCTTATAGTATTACCAGGATCAGATAATGTACAAGTGCCCTTACATGATGACAAATAACCTCCAATAATAAAATGCCTTTCATTGATACCAAAGGTGAAAGACATCCAACCCCCAATTTTTACATCGCAAAAAAATTCTGAAAACGAGCAAGCATTGAAACACCAAAAAATGACATTAATTATTTTTTGTTTTTAGTCTGTACACAAAGTATAGTCTCAGTTCTTTCTGAGTCATAATAATAATGTTTAGTGTTTATACTAAAGAAAAATAAATATAAAACAAAACATAACAAAAGGCTGAGGATTGGCGCTGCCATTTTTCACCATCACATACAGCAATTACAAAGACAATCAGCAAGTTAATATTATTTTATATAGTTATAAGCTTCATTGTATCTCTATTTTTACAGATTATAGCAATGTTATAAAATTAAAATTAAGTCACTAACTAATAATCTGTAGCTTCAAAAGCTTGTAACTGCTGAAGCACCTTCTTAATTTTTGTCTAAGTTATAACTAGAAGCAATTTGGAAAAGTTCTATTTATTTCATAAGCAAGGTGCTGTTTAATTGGAAACTTTTTTGAGTTTAGATGTTACATGGTCTGGAATATTATAACAATCATTAGCTGATAGACTGACAAAAATGAGTGATATAGCTTTTCATAATGTGTATAATATTGGTGGGTGAAGTCTTAAATCATATGTTCATATCACTTCCTGATAAATATGATTCAAAGGCAAAAACCACAAAATACTCCTCTGTTTTAGGTACTGATCATATTAATAGGATATTTGTCACTGGTATTTTTTGTCTGGATGCCAGAAAATAACACAAAGTTTCACTATGCTTCAATTTTAATTTGGCTGTTATGCTCTTGTTATGTGGCTAGGCTGTTTGGATCATTCCAGTTGCCAGTATTTATTCTACTACAAGGCATTTTCTTTGGTGGATTTTTGTCTGAGGTGTATGAAATTCATCATACTATGTCCAGAACAGGTGAGATAGAAATGTCCAGTGGGAAAGTTCACTTTTTGATTTAAGAAAAAAAAATAAAAACTTAATGAAAAGAAAATATTTCTTACTATCAACATATAAATCCGGCAGGTTTCATTTCTTAAATATCATTCCATCCAAATGTTTATCATTCCTTCGGACACACTCTGTTTTCATCGATTCTCTGAAACTATGGGCAGTGACCCCATCCTGTTGAACCACGTGTTTCTGTTAAATCGACGTTCTGTTCTTATAATAGTAGCAAAAACAGTGTCAATCATGTCTTTGTATCGCTCGGAATTGACTGTCAATACACGACCGAATCACTTACTCGACGCACATTTTCTTCGGTTGATACAGTAGGTGTGGAGCCAGGAATGGGTCGACTAAGAATAGAGCCTGTTACACGGAACCTCTTAATCCTCTTCTTCAATAGGTTCTTACTTGGGGCATCTCTTGGTCGGCGAATGTTATACCGTGTACAAAATTTCCGAAGGGCAGCTGCGTATTAATCACTACTCTTAAAGTAAGCTTCGATAACAAAAGAACGTTGCGCTCCGGTCCAACGTTCCATTGTGACTATTTAACCCGCACGCTGAACTCGTCAAAATGAAGACCTCTCCCCACTTCCTCGCGTATACGGTTGCCTCGTAATTAAAATTTGAAATGAGAACTTTCCCACTGGACACGATGTATTTCCAGTTTTTTGTTTGAGTATAGGCAACTATCAAATTCAGTATTTCGCCTTCCACAAGTGGAGATTATTATACTTAACGAGTCCGACTCCAAATTATAGCTACATTTTTCAGGTCATCCCATTTCAATATCAAAATCTCTCTCACTGGCATTCCATGACAAACCTTTGGATTTAGATGAGAGTGAAACTAATGTTTCAGAAAATGTAAAGGATACTATCGAGGTATTTATTTCAATGTATAGCAATATTTCCATGTGTGTAAATTATAAATTGTGCTCCTTCAATTTCACCAGCAAAAATCAAATGGCTTACCTGAAAAAAATGAAACGAACAAAGCTGATGGTGATACAACAATATCCGAGAAAACAGAAAAGGAAAAAGACCCTTGGGGACTAGAGTTATTTGAGGAGCAGGCAACTTCAGTAACTAGAGCAGACTCAGATTTAAATAACAGTGTTCTGATAACCAGTCAGGTATATTGTGTATATTTCATTAGTAGTTTGCAGTGGATTTTGGTTTGGTATATTTGGATTTAATATATTGCTTGTTTTTAGATGTTTGATATCAACACATTTTTTCCAGGGAATTCACTTGATACAACAACAGCCACATCAAATGTCTGAAATCAATGAGCTGTTAAAACCTGCAGTCCGAAATAAGGATAAGATATTGAAACGCTCGATATCTCAACCACAACTTTTGAAAAGTTCTACAAAATTACATAAAGGTGATCCCAAATAAAATTCAATGGATAGAAATTGTGGAAAGGCATTGCAAAAATTCACAAAATAAAATAAGAAATCTCACCAGATTTGTCTTGAGATTTCAAATGTTTCTTCAGGTTTTTACAGTGAGTGATCCCAGAACCCTTCTGAACTACCAGCAGTTTTGAAATCACTACCAATTGTGCGGAATCAGAACGGTCCAGGGATAGTTCTTTGGATAACCTGAATAATATGTTTTCTCTAAGTTCATTTTCTTTTGTATCATTCCGTAATTGATGTTATCATCTGAACTGGTGGACAAAGAGTTGGTCAAGAACCTCCCGAATACCACAGCTCGATATTTCTTTCTGTTCCGAAAATATCTAGGCTGAATTTGGGTAAAATTGTCCATGTTGCAAAGCAACTGTCCACCAGTTTATATAACAAATCGTTTTTTAGGAGCAATCTTAAGTCTTGGCAAGAAACTGAGCCTGAGTTACTCAAATAGCAGTTTGATCTCAGAATCTTACGGTAGCACATTTTATTTGTACACTGTTCTGTGGCTGTGTATCATGATGCTTTTTTGGAAAAATACCATGCTGCTTCCACTACTTCCAGTGCCAATCTTATTTTATATGTTGAAACACCTTGGGATATACTTAGGTTAGTTAGGATTTCTTAATAAAACCATTTATTTTGTCATTTATTAGAAGAAAAAGATTTAATATTCCTCTTGTATGCATTTAGGTCTGTGGAATTACCTGTACAACAAGGTTATGGACGTTTTTCGTATTGTCAAAGCTTGGTGCGAGGAGAGACACGATGCTTTGGTTCCCGTCCCAATAAGAGGGTTATACAGGGTGATTCACAGAACCAACACTGTATTGAAGATGAGTATCAGTGACAGCATTGACACTTTTGCTAGTTTGGTCGTCATACTTGGATTGATCGTATTCTTGATATGTGCTTCCATTTTTATAGCACTCCAGGTATGTTTTTCGCGAGGCAAAGATTGTTTTGGAAGTACTTTTTATCAAAATTCTAGCAGTCACAAAATGAGAATGACACCACAATCCATAATAACTGAAGACACTGCAAGCGCAATCCATGCACTCTGTTTTTCTGCCTTGCATACCCGTAAAGAAATAGTGCAACTTAAAGGCCATGTATTTTACTGCTGAAATATCCGTGTTTTTCTATAGATCTATGCGGAGGCCATCATGTTAGTACAAATGACAGGTAATGTGATAAACCAGACGGTCGTCCACAATCCTGAATTGAGACAAGTTTTACCACCAGCTTGGGACGACACAATTGATTCTATATTGGATAACGCCTATCAGTATGGCAGACAAGGCATATCAAAAGCTGTAAGTTCCTTGCGCGTTCCTTCCTCGAAAGTCGTCAGAATGATAAATTTTAGGTTAAAAGTATGATGTCTGATGTTGACACTGCCAAATCGGACAAACTAGAACAACAAGTACTTGAGCTCTGGGACAGAGTTTATCAAAATTGGATGTCTCCAAATAATAGCCACGGGCCTCAAGTTACCGAGGAAGCGGTGAGAACGTCGTGGGAAGCTTTTGTTAATGATCTACAGAAGTCTTCAGGTATTCATTCAAGAGTTGATCCCGACGATTTGGACTGGGCTCAGTATCACAGTATTTTTTTTTCAGAAATGCTGAATGTAAACGCACTTGTCGAATTCTGCAAGCAGAACATAGGTACTTTGATGTCGCTTTTGGAATCGATATGGGGGATACTAAAAGGAAATATCAGCTTAATTTTAAGCTCCTTCAGTACATTTTTATCTGTAATCCTTGGTGGTGGCACTGCTGTGATGAACTTCATACTTAATAGCGTATGTATTTTTTGTTCGACGTTTAAACTCTCGTGCAGATGTTACAGATTTTACTTTCCGAATGAGACATCGACAGAATTTAATAATGATTTTTTACCTAAAACTGATAAAACTGCGGAAGACGCACGAATCTGGACAGTTTTACTTATTGCGTTTCAATTTCAGGTTGTGTTTTTGACAACGCTTTTTTATCTGTTGAATTCGAGTTCCGATTTATACAAACCTCTGGAGGTTCTGATAAATTTCTCCCCAAGTAGCAGAAGGTTTGGGCATGCCTTAGAAGCAGCAATAAATGGAGTGTTCTCAGCTTCTTTCAAAATGGCTGCGTTTTATGGCTTGTGGACATGGTTCATTCATAATCTTTTTTGCGTCAAGATCGTCTATCTTCCTTCTGGTAAGTTTATGTGGTTTGGACTAATGAGTCAAAAATATGCGATTTGTTCTGTTCATAAATTGTGGTTTGGTATAAATTGTTCTCGTTTTCAGCATTTGCTACAATATTAGGAGCAGTACCATTTTTGGGCACCTACTGGGCATGTATTCCTGCTGTTCTTGATCTTTGGCTGGCCCAAGATCGAGGAATTGCAGCGATTCTGTTTGCTCTCTTCCAGTTCCTACCAACTTCAGTTGTTGATACCACTATATACAAAGAAATTAAGGGGTGAGTATTCTGGTTATGGTTTGTGGTCGAAATTTTCTAAACTATAAGGTCCCTGAACATCAAAATAAGGGCGACATAGAAGATGGTGCAACACCGGATCTTGTAGTGTTCATACAGATTAATTATTTTTACAATTTATACAAATGTGGTTTCGTTTACGTACATAATAACACTGATAAACACAGGATTTGTGACATGACAATTTTTAGGTGTTTCTTATGTATTTTGAGACACTTAAATCAAATCTAAAAACAGAATTTTTCTGTCACCCACAGATATTCGGTAACATCGACTTTTATGAACTACAATTCGTATCATCCCATATTACTGCATTTCTCGGCGTTTATGCGATGACGCACATATATAATGTTAAGACCTGTCTATTCCTGTTTTTTATATGCGAGCTCTATGTTTAGAGAGCATATTGCGTTTATTAGTAGACTAATAGCAGCCGAGTTAGTTACGTTTTCTGTGTTGAAGTACTGAGATGTTCTGAGTACTGTTATTTTTTGTTAAAACGATGTGTTGTTTTTAGTTTATTGTGATCGAGACTACCTTTATGGACAATGCCTTTAAATGCAAAACATCGACAACAACATTTTGAGATTAATGTTTATTCGAGTGTTTATTAGTACTCTTACACACATATCCTTATATTTTACGAGTATAAGCAGCAAATAAAATGCCTTATTGCAAGAAAACCGTGGGTCATAGAATTTGATATTTCCGGCTTTTTTAGTACGTTTTACATAATAACCACCTTGTTTTGTCCATGTCACAAAAAAAACTATTTCAATTTTGTTACCAGTGTTATTTACCATAATGGTAGAGGCGCTGGTACAGATTACTTGAGTTCCACTGAAACTTAGTGACATCAGCAGGCCAATTCTTGACACGAGGGAATTGAACAACTGAGTGAAAGCTAATAGAATAGTTGCTCCACGAATCATTGTCGACAGAAAAAGGGCGGAAGATTCGCCGTTGTACATAAGACTCATCTCTAAAAGTTAAATTTGTGCTGGAACGTTTAATAATTGAAGAACCCAGGAATGTTTTATTTTGTCGAAAATTAATGCATTCACAAACTTGTTTGACAGATTTTAAAAAAATACAGCGATATGAGACCAGTAAATGTGTTACCAGACATTGAAAGTTTATTGGTGTCCATAGTACATGGCAAATTAATGCAGTTTATATGGGAAGACAAAATTTTGATGGAAACACAAGCAGGCATGGATATTTTGTTAGGTAAATTGATGGCATCAGGTATATCAGGAAGTGTTCTAGACTAGTATGAAAATTTTTTGTCTAAAACGATGCAAGTTTAAAAAATTTATAACACTATTTCATCATAAATTGAAAATATGTTAGGTATTCCACAGAGCAGTATCCTGAGACCACTTCTTTTTATTTTATTCATAAACGATTTATCTGACATAGTCAAAAAATGCAAAATAATTTATTGCCACCATGCTTACCTCAATCAAGTGCCGACAATCATTTATACTCGTATAATACCAGAAATAAAGATGACTTCCATTAATGTCAAAAGGCATAATATATGCGACAATCTGTATTCTATCAAGCGTGATAGACCAGAATACTTTGACAAAATTCAACGTGCTAAAT